ACTGGAACCAGCACAACAGAAGATCATGAAATCATGAATTAAGATAAGTATAACTGGGTCATAGAAACTTAAAAATAGCAAGGTTGGATTGCCTTGGAGCTGAGAAATGGTAAACTGTAGTGTTTTCTCCTCTGGCCAGGTTTTAGCTTTATATTCTCATAATCTTTTGTGAACAAGCTGAAGTTCCTAGTCATGCTGAAAATAGGAGTGCCTACAGTGACTTCTGCAGTAGGAAGGAAAGGACATAATAGTGGTGAGTCATATCTGCAGTCCTAATGTAAAAACATTCCATAAACAAGCAGTGCGATTTGGTGGTGTTTAGGTGGGTTCAGAGTGTATTCTTTGGTTAGCACATTGAAAGCTCAATTTAACCTTCAGTTTAAATTCCATGTGCATCAAAATAAAAGGTGTGCAAAGTCTTACAGTTTGTTTTCTTTAAAACTAAGCCACAACGTGAGTAGAAAAGTATGTGTCCTGCCAACATGCTGCAGAGTGTGACAGTGGGATCCTTGCTCTCTGTGTGGAAGCATCTTTTGCAGAGGTCCAACACTTCTCCTGCTAAGGCAGAAGTCTTTTCAGCATGGAGACGAGGCTTTGCTGATTACAGAGCTATGGGTCTGACCCAGCAGGGGGCATGTTAGACCAGTGCAGAAAGATCACTGCTTTTCTGCTTCTGTGCAGAGAGCAAGGATCCCATTCTGCAGCTGCTGGCAGGGTATAGGCTTTCTTGCTTGGGCTGTGGCTGCTGTCTAAACAAAACTGTAAGACATTGAACACCATTTGGTACACCTTAAATGTATTTAGCAGATTTAAACTGAAGGATTCAATTGTGTTTTTAAGGAAGTAGACTTGTACAAAATCATTATATCTTATGCTATGCTAGATATACATAGACTTTGTATCATCTTTTTAAACAATTCTTCAAAAATATTTGGGTATAAAACTGAGTAAACTTAAAAAATATATATACAGTACAGTACAAAATTATAAGCAATTAGGGACTGATTTATAAACCAATTCACACAGTTATTTGCTGTGTGAACAAGAGTTGCACCACTGTGTAGCCACTAGGTGGAGCTGAGGAGCAAAGAAAATTATCTTGTTCCTCGACTCTGTCTGCTGAACATACTGCACTGTGACTTTTGTTCACACAGCGAAGAACTGTATGAATGGTTTATAATTTCGGTTTATATTTACACTATATTCCCAAAAGTATTGGGACACCCCTCCAAATCATTGGATTCAGGTGTTCCAATCACCTCCATGGCCACAGGTGTATAAAATCAAGCACATAGGCATGCAGACGCTTCTACAAACATTTGTGAAAGAATGGGTCGCTCTCAGGAGCTCAGTGAATTTCCTTGCTAGTAAATATTCCATGGTCAACTATTTGTCGTATTATAACAAAGTGGAAGCAACTGGGAACAACAGCAACTCAGCCATGAAGTGGTAGGCCACGTAAAATGACAGAGCGGGGTCAGCGCATGCTGAAACGCACAGTGTGCACAAGTCGCCAACTGTCTGCAGAGTCAATAGCTACAGATCTCCAAACTTCATGTGGCCTTCAGATTGGCACAACAACAGTGCGTAGAGAGCTTCATGGAATGGGTTTCCATGGCCGAGCAGCTGCATCCAAGCCTTACATCACCAAGTGCAATGCAAAGCGTTGTATGCAGTGGTGTAAAGCACGCCGCCACTGGACTCTAAAGAAGTGGAGACGTGTTTTCTGGAGTGAGGAATCACGCTTCTCTGTCTCGCAATCCGATGGACGTGTCTGGGTTTGGCGGTTGCCAGGAGAACGGTACTTGCCTAACTGCATTGTGTAAAGTTTGGTGTGGGGTTGTTTTTCAGGGGTTGGGCCTTGACCCTTCGTTCCAGTGAAGGGAACTCTTAAGGCATCAGCATACCAAGACATTTTGGACAATTTCTTGCTCCCAACTTTGTGGGAACAGTTTGGGGATGGCCCCTTCCTGTTCCTACATAACTGCGCACAAGTGCACAAAGCAAGGGCCATAAAGACAAGGATGAGTGAATTTGGGGTGGAGGAACTTGACTGGCCTGCACAGAGTCCTGACATCAACCCAATAGAACCCCTTTGGGATGAATTAGAGCAGAGACTGCGAGCCAGGCCTTCTCGTCCTACATCAGTACCTGACCTCACAAATGCGCTTCTGGAAGAATGGTAAAACATTCCCATAGACACACTCCTAAACCTTGTGGACGCCTTCACAGAAGAATTAAAGCTGTTATAGCGGCAAAGGGTGGGCCAACTCAATATTGACCCCTACGGACTAAGACTGGGATGCCATTAAAGTTCATGTGCGTGTAAAGGCAGGCGTCCCGATACTTTCGGCAATATAGTGAGTATCTGGAGAAAGATAAAGGATTCCTTCAAGTCACAGTGTTGCAGGAGTTTTTAATTTTCTGTATGGTTGTTTACCAGGCCAGAAACACGAGGAGCATGTGCACCTTATCAGAAAAACACTGTTCCTTTCTGGAATGAGGAAACCCCTGTACCTATCAGTTTTATTTGACCCACAAAATGTTGGCATGGAGTTCTTGGCAAGTTTTTGGGCAAAGTTGATAATGCGATATTCATGCTAGCATCCTCATAATGATTTTTACTGTGGTTATGGTTATATTGGCAGTAGGTTCAGTATAAAAGCAACTACAACAATTTATGGACGGGGTGAGCGTTAGCAGAATAAGAGGCTAAGGTAAATAATGTAATAAGGTTGATAATTACATAATGCAACATTTTTGGTATAATCATTTTTTGTGTGATAAATTAACTTGTTAGGTGTGATGGCACCAAAATCACTGACTGCAACCAAAACAACAATTTTCATGCTATTACGATAAAAACGATAGTTTTATGGTTATATATGAATCAGGAAAAAAATCAACTTTTTTCTATTTCTAACCTAACTACCGGCACTAGATCTAAACATTATTATAGTTGTAAGGGTTTACCTCCCTATTCCTAGGTGTCACGTTACAAGGACTGAAGCTGCTTTAATAGCAAAGGATGACATGGTAAGGTGTTTTCATTGTTTTGTCCACCCCATATGAATTTATATATATAGCAGCAGCCACAGCCCACGCAAGAAAGCCTATACCCTGCCAGTAGACATGTGCGATTCGTTTCGTTCCGAATCGAAATTCGGACGAATTTTCGTAAATTCGGACATTCGGATGTATCCGAATTCCGAATTACAGACATAACGAATGCAAACGAATCCGAATTTCCATTTCCGAAATTCGGTAGCGTTCGCACGAACGTTCGTTTCGTTTTCTGTTCTTATTCGTTTCTTATTCGTTTCGTTCGTTGGAGCAAAGTGACATTAGGGAAGGAGAAAAATATTTTTTCCCCCTCAAATGTCACTTTTGCTGCAAACGAACGAAACGAATAAGAAACGAATAAGAAACGAATAAGAACAGAAAACGAAACGAACGTTCGTACTAACGCTACCGAATTTCGTCCGAATCCGAATTCCGAATCCGAATTGACTTTCACACCCGAATCCCGAAAAACGAAATAACACAAATCCGAATTTAAAACGAAACAAATTTTTTGGCAGTGCACATGTCTACCTGCCAGCAGCTGCAGAATTGGATCCTTGCTCTCTGCACAGAAGCAGAAAAGCAGTGATCTTTCTGCACTGGTCTAACATGCCCCCTGCTGGGTCAGACCCATAGCTCTGTAATCAGCAAAGCCTCGTCTCCATGCTGAAAAGACTTCTGCCTTAGCAGGAGAAGCTGACTTTTTTATCATTATACTTTATAGAGAATATTGAAATCTGTAATTAATAACCCCTTCTCAACCGATGATGGGATTTCCAACACTGTCTTTCAGTTCATTCAAAAACGGTGACAGAATAATCCCGTCATGCGGAACAATGAGCGCTGGTCCGTGGAGGGACCAGCGCTCAATGAGTTAATGCTGTTGCAGGGTCCCTCAGTGTCCAAGGCAGGCCCTCAATAGCAAATTAGGGGTCCCAGCACTGTGATCACTGCGATAGGTAAACGCAGTGCTGTGTCAACCACTGAGCCAGCATGCAGCTCACTATGTTGTGGAGCTGCAAGCCAGATCAGTATATTACAAAAAGGATACTAAGTATCTCTGAGGAGAATACTGTATCTCCTCAGAATACTTGGTATCAAAAGCCTGTGTTAATAAAAGTAACCCCCTTAGTGCCCTCTAGTTAAAAACAACAAAATGGTTTTTTTTAAATTCCAAAAAGTTTTAAAAAAATGTTTAATAAAAATATGATATACCCTATAAATCAGGACAAATAAAATAATTTATTATGAATTACTATCTGTTTTCTACACTAATTATGTACACACTATTAATGCCAAAACTGTGAAAAATGTGTTTTGTTTTTTTAAATTTTTTTGTATTTTTTGTATTTAAAAAAATAAGATTTTATATATGCATATGTCACATCAAATTGAAGTCCATTGTGTCCTTTTAAAAATGGTATATAATATCTGTAGGTGCAATAAATGAGGAAGATGGAAATTATGGTTATGATTAGTGTCGCTATTAAGTGTTATTAAAATATATTTAATGCTATTTTTTTTCCCAACACAATATAGTGTCAAGTTTTTAGTGATGTACATGGACCCACTGGGAAACTATGCTCTCTGTTTGTCCTGGTGACCGTTAAAGAGATCTACTCTCACTTCCTGTTGTGTCTGGAGACAGGAAGTGAAGGAAAATCCCCTTAAAAAATGCCTGACAGGGCTTTAAATTATTCCTTTCTCTATACAAAACAAGAAAACAGGTTTTGCTTTAGATATAATTTAGTAGGTCATTCCACTTAAAACTGACATTTAAGTTATTCTAGGGATAAGAACTTTACTTTTGAATTGTATAGATGCTATTAGAAATACGTCTCACTCTCCTTATTGGGTTTTTAACCTCTTGGCAATACTTCTGTTCTGTTTCTATTTTTCCATCCGCAGGAAATAAAATGTTTGTTTCCTTTTCCTAGCCAATAAGCAAGTTTCCATTTTTGGCCAACGACATCTCATTCTGGCTTCCCAGTGAAGGATATTCGGAGAATGATTTTTATGATTTAGTACGCAGTATTGCAGGAGACATTGTTGAAGAAGTGACTTTGATTGACCAATTTACTCATCCAAAGTAAGTTTTTTGTACTATATATGTCATTTGTTTCTACTCTTTCTACTCGTTATAGCATTAATCAAATTCTAGTTGTATGAAGAAAAATCATGTGTGTATTTTGAGATAACTGTGGCCATTGCCATAGCTGGACTCTCTCTGAGACTGATGGGCACAGAGAGCTGCCTAAGCACCTAGTCACGCTGTTGCTGCCTGCTCGGTGGTGCACAGGCCATACTTTAATGCTCCCACTAGTTTAAAACAATGAAAGGAATCAGACCCACTCATAAAATGTCCCAACAAGTTGGAAAGTCTCCCTTTGTGATAACAAGCGCCTCCTACCACTACTACCGTCAGAAAGTTCAGAAATGGCAAGATAATTACAAGCCTGTGGTTTGTGCAGTTTATTCTGGGAATTTCTGAACCGGGGAATACTGCAGTGTGCAAATAGATACCTTTCAATAAGATTATGCTGAGATATAATCCTCATATCCTAAATATTTAGAGCCCTTTATATTGTGGTATGCTGTGCAGTATGCTGCAGCTCTGATTTACAGTACATGAAAGTCAGTGTTTGAATACTTCTGAAGTCCTGGGTTTTAAAGGGCTCCATTGACTATACTATTTGACTCATAATGGTGGCTTTTACACTTACCCTGCAAGAGAAGATGCTGAATAATCTTTTCATCATGCTGCATATCGAAACTAACATCTTTTGCAAAGCTCCACTGCTTATCCTGCACTTCTGGTTGCACTGGCTGTAGTTCCTACCACTGACCTCTTAGTTACTACTGTGACTTTTTTTATTATTATACAGGATTTATATAGCACCAACAGTTTGTGCAGCGCTTTCCAAAATGAAGGGAGAAAGTAGTTACAATACAATTTTCAATACAGGAGTTTCCTGCTCATAAAAGCTTACAATTAAATAGGAGAGGCGAGTGATACAAAAGGTAAAAATTGTGTGGGATGAGCTAATGAAAAAATAAAAGGACAGTTATTATGTCAAGGTAGGATATTCTTCCCTGAAGAGATGAGTTTTCAAGGATCTCCTACAGGTGAACACAGTAGAAGATAAGTGGACAGATTGTGATATGGAGTTTCTAGAGGATGGGGAGGCTCTGGAGAAGTCCTGAAGGCTAGCATGGGAGCTAGAGAGTATGAGGTATTGTCATTGTACTGTGCACAGGTGTCCCCACACCGCATGCAGGTACCCACGCAGGCAAACCAAATTAGTGTGACCACACTTGATGAGGTTATGCACTCGGTTTATTGTTACACAGCAAACAGGAAACTACAAACCCCACCAAGACCCACAAGCTAGCACAAGCAGTGAAATGACAAGACTTAAATAGAACAAAAACACACCTACAGCCAGAAGGAACAGCAAACGGGAACAGGGTTAGGAACTGCAAGGCAGGTATCAGGGTTCAGGACTGCAAGGCAGGTATCAGGGTAAGGCTACAGGATACTGGGGCTCAGGATACCGGACTCAGTCAGGGGAATGTGCCAAGATTCAGGAACTGACAAGGAAGGGTTCAGGATTGCATACGGGTAACAGGTTCAGGTAACGGGTCTCAGTCAGGGGAAGGCAACAAGGTTCTGGGTACACAGGAACTGATCAGATACTGAGCTGACGTCCTGACTGCAGGGAGGACCTAAATACCCTCCCAGGAAGCACCAGGTGATGGGAGGTTCACTGGCAGCTGGGAGACACCCGCAGGTGAGCACTGGAGCCGCAGGTTCCAGCACCACCCAGTGGTGGGCTGACACCCGACAGTTCCTGGCTGCCTGGAGACACCTTCAAGTAAAAGCGCAGGAACTGCAGGTTCCGGTTCCAGCGCCCCCTGGAGGCGCTCTGGATCCTGACAGGTATTGAGGGGAGTGGAGAGAACAGTTTGGCCAATATTTTGAGATTTGTTGGGCAAGTTGGAGCCAGTGAAAGGGTTTCCAGAGAGGACCGGCGAACAGTAAATGGCTGGTGAGGTGGATGAGTCTGGCAGCAGCATTTATGATAGACTGAAGGGGGATAGCCTTTGTAGTAGTAGGCCACCAGGAAAGGAGTTACAATAGTCAAGGCGAGAGATTACAAGGGAGTGAATTTGAAACTTTGTGGTGTCATTTGTTAAAAAGTAGGGACTTTTGGAAATGCTGCGGAGGTTGCGTCGGCAAGGTTTGAACTAAATGCTATCCAGCATACCTGTTGGTGTCAATAGCAGCAATATTTCAACTTATCCCCAACCGAAAGATTTGCATTCATCTACTTCTCTTGCAGGGTACGTCTCTTTTATTTTGTTGGGTAAGCATCAGGGTGGCTTTAAACAGCTGTTCATTAATAATCTTTAGGCAACATAGCATATGTAATTTATGTGAAATCCGGTAATCCTGAAACATAATAGTGATGCTGGAACACCCTCCTTCCCTCAACATATGCACAAAAAGCTGGTTAAATAAGATACAAGTACCAACATTTTTCTCGCAGCCAACAATCAGTATTCAGCGTGGCTTGGAAGTTTGATTTTGGCTTTCAGGAAGTTTACTGACGCTTTATAAATTTGTGTGGGCTTTTTCTGCACAGAACCAAGATTAATGTTCCTTGAGGTAACTTTCCTACTTTAGCACTGCATTTACTGGCATAGTAGCTCACTGAATGCTTTCACTTGTTTCCCAGGCAGTTGTTGAATTATGTTTTAAGTTGATTACTGTTGTAAATAATAATGAAATAGCAAGTAAGGATTTCCTTTTCAGTTCTGTTTGCTTACTTGTACATATGCACTCACTATCCCACTGTTGTTTTTATATGTGTTTGTACCACCCACTGGTCATTGGATTACAGGCCAGTTGATTTCTCAGTTTTGTGTGGTTGCTGGCAAGATTCCGGCATGATGAATCAGCATGCTGGCTTGTAATATCTCTCTGGGGCATCATCAGTGAGAATTCCTGGTTCATTCTCAACTGCCTGGTCATTACAAAACTGACTGATGATGTCTTCCCCCTCACCCTTTCAACCCCAATGCGTCATGTACGTTGTATGAGTCATATACTCATATTGGAGCCATAGAAAACATTGAGAATGCTAAAAATGACAGTAAAAATCTTCACTGAATGATAAAGCTCCAGATACAACTCAATTCATTACTTTCTCCTGAAATGTAACTATGAATTTAAAGTGTAATTCTGTTATTATTGAGTAAAAAAATCTCCTCTAGGTGATCTTGGTTCATTGCAAGATTTTAACAAACTTTGTTGGCCAATACCTACCTTTTTCTGTTCTGAAGAGATTGACGTTTGTTTCACTATGTCCTTTTCAAACTGATTCCTGAGTCGGCAGATCTGGTATTTTTATAACCACCTGGTGCACTTTTTGTGTTCTAATAAGGAAAGTTGCAATGTCTGCATCCTTTTGGTAGTAATTAGCCCTGAGGGAGTATCTCACTAAAAATACAATCTATTTCTCAGGGGATGGCTTAAAGTTTACTGGTATCTTAGTGCAGACGTCTGGGAAAATTAGTGAACCAATCAGTTTCTGGGGGCCGTCCATACACCAACAGTTTACAGAATGCCTCTAGATGCCTTATTGCGTACAATTTTTAAACTTTTTTTAGAAAATGGCAGCGGCTTCAGATTGAAATGGAAAGATAGTTTAATACAACTTTAATGTTATTTAAAACTATCAAACTTTTTTCTAGTAATAAATCCAAACAAATGTACAGTGTCCAAGCACTTACAGTCATCGTGTTTCTGAACAGCTCCAACTCTCTTAGATCAGCTCCCCTGAACATGCTGTCCAGTACAAGATCACAAGGGCAAGAGCAGTCTCCAGCGACTGCCCATTTACGAATTTGGAGAAGGAAGGAGGGAGAATGAAGGAGGGGACCAGGGAGGAAGTGGCTTGCCTTGCTGTCCCTGTGTGTTTGTGAAGACACAGGCAGCTTGCTAGCACACACAAGGGTGGCTCCGTAGGACCCTGCAAGGGAAAGAAGCCACCCTAAAACAGAATTTTAGGGCCAGTGCTCAGGGGACCAGCTGATTCTGTAGGAAACTAAAACGTTTATACAAGGAGCAGCATCCATTGTAAGTGATTTCATCAGCATTTGAAATAGCTTAAACGCGTGTTTACTTCAATATCACTTTAAATTACAGAATGGCTTGTGTAGCATTTTTATATGCTATACATTTTTGTTTATGAAAGTGGAGTTTTCCTTTAAGCGCTACATGACAGATTGAGTTCAAGTTGTTTGTTTTGCTATGGGCCGTCTGATATTGCACTAAAGTCCAATCAGCCGCTCAGGTTGAAAGCAAGAGAGTAAAACACATATAGCTTCATCCAGACAGTGAAAATGTCTGACTGAATGAATGTTAGTAGTGTAAACACAAAATGAGTATGTACAATTCCGTATGCTAAATAATGCCATCACTTTATTTCTGGATTTTTCCCATGATAGACATAGGTGGTACTGCAGGGAATATTTAACATAAGAGCTGAAACTGCTACAGTCAAAATCACCTTCTGCAGGGAGCCTAGAGTCGAAATGCCTTCTATTTCATCTAGTGACAATGTGTTCTTGTTTATGAGAGCTCCCAGGATGTGTCACCAGTAATGCAGACGTCCCTTGTACACCAGATGCAGACTTAAAGTGTGATTTGGAAATTTCCCATCATAGGTGGTGACAGCAGCATCAGACTTAAATATCAGCATCTGATACTAGGAAAACAGTAGGATTTTATAAACCAAAGAAAAAGAAAAAAATAATTCAGCGTTTACAATATCTATCAGTATCTTTATATTATTTTGTCAGTAAGTATAAGATGACTTTAAAGAAGAATTCCAAGTAACATTTTTTATTAACCCTTGCAGTGGGGCTACCCCCAAACTGCTCGTTTTGATATAGAGAGGAAAGTAAAAAAGTTATACTCGCCTGATCTGCGGAGCCAGCTTTCTCTTAGACCAGTCCTTCCAGCATCTTTCCCCCTCCGCTGCAGCGGTCTAAGGTCCCTGAGTCATCATGTTCTATACACAG